TTTTGTAAAATCATTATTTTTAATATGTTAATAAAATTGAAATGATAATGGTAATCTTTTGTTAGAAGTATTAAAAAAATATTCAAAATTATTCAGTGTTTCTTTTATGAATCAATAACAACTTTGTTTTGTTTGATATCGCTTTTGTGTCTCTCTGAATTGGTTAAAATGAATTTATCTGTTTCAAAATGTTTGTTTCTCTTGATATAATTTATTAAATAATCATCCAGTTATAACAATTAAATAAAGTTTATTTAAGAAAATACTTTGTTTTATCATCTTTCAAAATTGAAATGGTAATGGAAATCTACAGGGCAACATGAACTAACATTGCATGACGGAATAAAGTGCATTATATTCAGTTACGAACACAAAGAATAAAAAGATCACGGAAGGAAATATTCAAATGATTCTTATGATGGGGGGAAACTGGAAGAATGACATACGATGTAAGTTGAGCAACACACATTAGTAGCTCTCCGAATTGAGCAACTGGTTCTGATCTTCAGTGACCTTGAAATAGTTTAACCTGAAGGACGTTGAACCTCATTGTAGGTTATACCATTGAATATAGATCACTCCTATCTTCTCATAGCGTCTACTATAGACGAATATGATCTTAATAAATGTTCTAATACTTATGCTGCTTATTTTTTTACTATTATTAAAAAAGAGCAACGAATTTCAAATGGTTATTTTGTCTATTTATTAAGTATCTTACAAATTTTTAGAAGCGTATGTACTATAATATTGATAAAATTTCATAAGATTTCATTTTGTTATCAATGCACTGAATTCACTAATGAAACAAATTTTATTTGACTACAATTTTTGCATTTGTATATGGATATATAATAAACATAAATTCTGCAGTCTACATAAGATAATAACATTTTTCGATCAATACCTATTATTAATTAATATACATTTTCATATAAGAGGAACGACTGATAATAAAAAATGATAAGTTTTGACAATAATATAAGAAATATTGTTGTAAAACATTTTAAAAAATATTATAAAATATTTATGAATTATTAGCAATACAATTTTTAATTCGAAATATACTGCAGAATGTTTTTCGAAGTTCTATATCGTTTAAAGTATTAAAAGTAACAAATAGGTTGTTTAATTTACAATCTAATAATATATGAGTACAGAATCAATAATTTGTTAAATAATATGATCTAATCTTCCAAATTTATTTTCAACTTTTCCAATAATATGTTAAACATAATCTTTTCAGTTTTCTTCAGTAACTGTATTCAACGCTTCAAAAAATTAGTTTTTCGCATTGAAAAATTTAAATGATAATAATGTAAATTATGTAGTTAACACCAGTATCAGCTAAATAGTAACAATTGTTTTCCCTTTTATGTTCTTTCACGCGTGAATATTTTGTTTACATTTGGTGCTTCGACTCGTTGAACCTGCTATAGTTTTATATAACTTTTTTTTACTGTCCTTTGCTCACAAATTAATACTAATTTGTATTTAATATTAATCACTATTGTTATCTACTTTACTAATTTTAATATTGTAGGACTACTAAAATAAAAACTAAATCCGTAGTCAGGTTAAATATATTTATTATGCGATGTGGCTCTAACGAGGAACGGCGACTAACTGCCCTTCCTCAACTGCTTTCCAAAAAGGAAAGCTCCTCAGTCGAGCGCGTACGTGACCCAGGTCATGGTGGTCTCTTATCCTCTTACTCATAAACTTGTCAACGGGCCTGGTCTATCTCTCAGGCCCTCAAGAATCGGCAAGCAAAAGGGTGAACTGTCTACAGTTCGGTCATTCTTGACAATAGTGACCGTCCTCGGTCACGAGTGGTTACTTTGAAGTGCTAATAAAAGACAAAATCCTAAACATAAGAATAACTTAACAGTAAGAAGCTGTCTCCATGATACATTCTATAGTCTGTAGATAAATAAAATATCGAACACACACTCCATACAGTGCACACGTTATACAATATTCCTGAGCCTATTATAACACTCACACACCAAATACATTAATACTAACAAATATAGTATAGTTAAACAAAGTATAGTATATTACAAAGTAAAAATACAGAACAATTATAATAACTAAAGAGTAAGAGAGAAAAAGTGAATGAAAGGTAACATTAACGTACAATGACTAAAAACGTGTCCAATTTTTCATCTGATTCGGACCTACAACCCCAGTAAAGGGTACACGCGTAAGCTGGAATCCTTCTATATCAGTTAGTACATATCTATCAAAGTCTAAAACTTTCTTAATAACATACGGTCCTTTAAATTTTGGGATTAGTTTTTTATTCACCCCCGGCGTAACATCAGAGTTGCGAATCATAACATAGTCTCCCAATTGGTACTTTGTTGATGCCTTATGTTTTTTATCGTAAGCCTGTTTATTTCTTTCTTGATTTTTTATGATTTTTCCGACTGCTTCTTCGTGTATTGAGGGAAGGTTCCTGTCCCTTTTCGAATACGACTCTAAAACTACCCGTAAATTATCGTTTACTGTTCCCATCTGGTTGATCCCAAATAATAGACGGGAAGAACTTTCTCCTGTTGACCTGCAGACCGTGTTATTTAACGCGTATTCTATTGACCCTAAAACGCGGTCCCATTTACCGGATATTTCAGCTAATTTCGATAACATTGGTGCTAATACTCGGTTGAAACATTCCACTTGCCCGTTTGCTCGTGGAGTTCCAACTGCGATGAGGATTTGTTCGATCAAGTTATTAGTTGAAAATTCTTTAAATGCACTAGAGTTGAAACAAGTGCCCCGGTCACTAATAATTCTTTTAGGTTTGCTCTGGTTCGAAAATAGCCCGTTAAATTTTTTAGCACCTCTTCTGTCTTCATCATTTTACACGGATATAGTTTTATAAATTTAGCGAAGCCGTCTATAACTGATAATATGAATTTATGCCCTTTTCCACACTTTTCAAGAGGGCCATAATGATCGGTGTGGACCGTCTGAAAGGGTAGGTTATCCTTATCCGAATTGTGTAAAAATCCTTCGGATTTTCCACTAACAGGTGAAAACTCGATACATTTTAAACAGTTTCCAATATATTCTTTAAATCTCCGGCGCATATGCGGGAACCAATAGATTTGACTAATATTTTCAACGACTTTGTCTACTCCTAAATGGTCTAAATCATCGTGAATTGTACGAATTACATTGTTTATTAGACATTTCGGGACGTAAAACAACAACTTATTATTTTTTACTTTTCTGTATACTAGTCAATCTCGTAATTCGTAGAATTTACTCTGGCATGGTTTTAATTGGCTACGCAACTCACGGATTGTTTTGCCTTGACATTGTTTAATTGATAATACTTGTTCGAATGTGTTTGGCTCTAAAATAAGAATTGAATGATAGCGGCTAAGTGCGTCAACGTGCAACACTTTATTTCCGCTTCGGTGTTCAATTTTGTAATCGTAGTTTTGAAGGAACATTGCTCACCGGGAAATTCGTGGGTTAACATTTTGTTTGCTCAAGGTTAGCTTAAAACTATCACAGTCGGGAATTATTTTAAACGGTATACCTGAGAGGTATACATGAAAATGTTTTATGGCATACGCCACAGCTAAACATTCGAGCTCGAAACTATGGTATTTGAATTCCTGAACAGTCGTCCTTTTACTAAAATAAAATACAGACTGGAATAAATCATTAGGTTGTCTTTGTAATAAAATTACCCCGAATCTGCTGCTACACGCATCGCAATGCAGTTCGGTTTTCAATTTTGGTGAATAGATCGCCAATAATGGTTTATTCACTAAACATTTTTTGAATGCGATAAACGCGCGATTTTCTTCCGGTCCAAAGTGAAGAATAGCATTCTTTTTTAACAAATCATATAGCGGTTTCGCGATAATTGAAAAGTTCTGAATAAAACGACGGAAATAACTGGCTAATCCTACGAACTGATGTACCTCTTTTATGTTTTTCGGAACAGGATAATTAAAAACACTATAAATTTTCTTCAGCGGGCGAAATACCATTGTTCGATATCGAATATCCTAAGTAAATAATTTCTTGGAATGCAAACAAGCATTTATCTGATCTGAACTGTAAATTATATTACCTTGCTAATTTGAGTATCTCGCGTAAAATTTCTATGTGATATTCTATGGTTTGAGTAGCTATCAAAAAATCATCGATATACGGTAAAAGTTTATTTTATCTAACTAAATCGCTAAAAATCTCTGAAACATACGGGGTGCATTAGTTAATCCAAACGGCATTTTCAAATATTTGTATTGCCCGAATGGTGTTATGAAAGCTGTAAATTTTATGGAGGTTTCGGATACTGGAACATGGTGAAATCCGTTCTTTAAATCTAATTTCGTAAAATACGTTTTATCGCGGAGCTGATCTAGATAATCGTCGATAAGCGGAACTGGAAAGTTTTCTCTAATAGTAATTTTGTTGATTTCTCTGCAATCCACGCATAATCAGATTTCTCCATTCTTCTTTCTTACTAAGACAATCAGACTCGCGTAAGAAGAATTGCTCGGCCTAATAATTTTTTGTTCTAATAGGTTGTCTAAAATAATTCATAATTTTTTCTTATCAGTAAAAGATAATCGACGCGGTCGAAAACTGACTGGTTGATCGGATTTTAACAAAATAACCGCTTCGACGTGGCATGAACGTTGATCTTTGCTAATTGGACGGTTCATTTCCTCCAAATACATTTTTTCAATCTTCTCTTTCGTTCCTAAATCTAGTTTGGGGTTAATAATGCAGGCTTTCGTTTGCGAACGTTGGTTTTTCCACGTATTCAATTTGTAAAATTTGCCCTATAAATTTTTCAGATGGGCGAACCGCCTACAAAATAAACAAATCATTAGCTTTTTGCATTACTTTGTCACACGTATTTATATTTATTTTATGAATGTTTTCTGTTTTCTATTTTTTGTCTTCTTTTATATTGCGGTAACTATTACTGTTTTATTTAAATTCTCTTCGAATGTTTTTGTTCGCAACTTCTTAATATAACGATAAACAGTCCATAATTATTTAACATCTTTTACGTGTTTAGATAGGTAGAATATACACGCAAAGTTTGGCACCTTAAATCCGTATAAATCTTTCTGTAATTTCCCATAAATAAGTATTTCCAGAGAAAAATTGAAGCATGTGTTTAAATATATAACGATTGTGACATCTACTGACATTCTGAGATTTGATATACAGGTCAAAGTAATTAAAGAATTAATGTATTGATCTATTAAAAAATAAAGAATATGAACATTTAACAAAATTAATATCTATAAGAGACTTAACGTTTATTTTTGATATATTCTTATATTATAATTTATTACAATAACTCGATATATCGTAATAACAAAGATAAGGAAATTTCATAAAACGTACTATGCAAAATACATGTAAGATGACATTGCATAGTTTCAATTTGATTGAGCAACAGTAGCGAGCAAATCTTTAATTGTTTTGGCCAGACTGTTACGCTTAATAGAGCGACAGTCATTTCCGGTCATAAAGCTTGACGATTGTTTTTCAGGTGGAGGAATACAGTAATAAAATCGCCACGTTATTCAAATCATATGGATTCCGTCGAGGGGACTTGGTCGGTTTACTTTTGGAAAATCGTCCGGAATTCGTTGCGATATGGCTAGGTCTAAGCACGCTGGGAGTAATAGTGCCCCTGATCAACACTAATCTTCGTAAAACTGCTCTTTTGCATAGCATCAACGTGGCCAAATGTCAAGCGCTTATTTATGGAGCAGACTTCGTGGATGGTAAGTTGCAAGTCACTTCTTTAATTGGATTCAGAACATTAAGTGTACTGTACAATATTTTCTCCTATCGTTTTTTCCTTTCTTGTCGTACATATCATCAACGTACCATTAGCTACACATTTATTCTCTATACCTCACTCCATATTTCTGTTTCCACGACATATTGTTTTATGCTATGTAAAAATAAGGAAATTTTTCCGTTATCTTTAAACAAATAATAAATAAATAAATAATATAAAATAAAAAAATAAATGAATAATATACAATAAAAAATACGGAACATACAATAAAACACAAAATGTATACAGAGTGGGCTACATAAATGGGAATATGTAAATAATCCTTTGCGGTCTGAAATATTTTAGAGTATCTTTCTATTCTAGAAATTGCGTCAGTGTTACTTAATTTAATTGTAGTTTAATATGGCATTTTATTTAATTATTACTCATTCTTACTACATTATTTGAGAACCTTTAGAACCTAACTTCAGAACCTGTTATTGTTATGTTTAGAAGCTTTCAATTGTATCTTTACATGATGTGATTATGGTATTATGAATAATTATAGATATTATAGAATAATTATATTAATAAGAATAAAAAATATGTTTCTCACAAGTGGAGCATGATACCTCAAGCAATAATCCTTAATAATTCTTGACAAAATGTAGGAAAAAATTTTAAATTATGCGAAATTCATACATAAATATTTATGAACGACATTTTCTCGATATAGAATATTTAAGTCGTTGTAACTTTTAAGTGTTTCCAGACATTATGTTATACATATATGTCGAAAAAGTATGCAACCATTACGGTCACATAAATCATTTTTATATATATAGTACATAAAGTGCTAGAGAAGATGGACCTACGTTTTTAGAAGTGAAGAATACTTCGTGTATTTGCCTCAATTTATTTGTCTCATTGTCAGTTTATTATCAGACTATGTATGACAAAGCTATATTTTGCAATCGTTGCTATGTACCTACGTAAATGTTACTATGTAACAAAAGTTATATTTTATAACCAATGTTTAGTTGTTGAATTTCAAAACTAATTTTAGATTACTTTTTAATTATTCATTAATTTTTTTACTAAGTTTCTTTAAATTGGCATGGGAATGTTTTATAAATATCGAAGAAACAAGTTAGTATTTTTTTTTGTTATTTAAGCGTTGCAGAATTTCTTCTACTAATGACGGTAGAAAATCCAGTATGACAATACGGTTTATCATAGTCGTTCCGCTTTTACTTTTTATTTATGCGATGTCTAAGTAGACAATAAAATAAAGACGTTATACAATCGGCATCGACCATGCAATAAAATTAAACATGTTTTTGCTCTGAGTATTGACTTCTGTAGGTATTTAAGACAAAGAAGAAAATTAATCAAGTTTTTCTTTGCTTAGATTAAGGAAGTGTTTATTAATAAAGTTTATGTAACGTTTATATATGATGTTTTGCCACTATATGGCTATCACTTACCTGTTTTAACTTGTCAGTAGTATAGCTACGGACAATGAATATTGTCCAATAAAAAGCTAATTTCTATATTTACAATGTTGGATTTTTTCGTGTTTTCTGGTATACTAATTACAGCATTAGTGTTACCGAATTATGAAATTGAGGAATACTTGGAGCAGAATTTATGCAAAAATACGAACAACAACTTTTAATACAATAAGAGGTATCGTCATTCATACTGAACATCGAACTCGCATTGAACAAAACAAATTCATACTTGTAACAATTGCAAAGAATATCTAACAATTGTAAAAATCTGTTTATTAATTTCGATTGACGAATATTCTGATTTTTTTAGGCAAAGATTTTTACCTGGTCAGAAATATTTTTTTCTAATTTCGTTGAACTGTAGAGGAAGTTAAATATCTAAAAAGAAGAATCGCCTGTAGCATGGCTGATGCAAACAAATTTTCAAGTTTCTCCATCTCGTTTAATATTTATACGTCTTTTTCTGGTCAGTTTTACATTGCGGAAATGTTTTGATGGAAATTTACTCTATGTGCGTAATTTACATCACCGAGACTTGCAGACACAAGGTCTAAATAGAAGTGTTGTATTTTCACCGTTATATTAAATATTATACATCTATTTCCATAAATTTCAGTAATCAATTTATATTTTCAACTAATATATATGTATATATAGTACTTGGCACAATACTCTGACAATAATTTCAAAAGACACCGCACTTTAAAATGTTATGAAAGATAAATACACATTAACAAATGGATGGTCAATTCTAATATTTCCTATTTACAGAAAGAAAAGGATACTAATATGTTTTTCATTACTTTTGTTTTCAATTACCGAATTGATGAGAATTAGTTGGTTTTGTCTCGTATGAGATATTTATGTATACATAAGCATGGTGTGCAAATCAAAATTTTGCATGACTATTTTTTCATTTTTGGAGGCCCCAATATTGCTTTAGTTTCTTCTGCAACTTTCGCACGGTTCAATTAATGATATTTGATTGATATAGCGTGCAACTAATGGATGGTACGAGAATATGGTCTCTGATCTAATGATTGATGCAATAATAGGAAATAGAACTAACTACTTTAGAATGAAAGAAAATTGGGTGTTCGGTTGCGTGCTAACGTCGATTTAACGTGAGGGTCATTTTATAAATGATTGCATAATATCACAAAGCCTATTGCATTCACACGTTTAAATACGAATTGTACGCGAGAAATTGTTTGTATCGTATAACTGTACATGGGATGAGATCTATTTCAAATTCGAAAACTTAGGTCAAGCTACGAACATTTTATTCTTGCCTCCATTCAATCTGTAGAATTCCAATTTTTAAATTCGAATAACTAATTTTTCCAAATACTAATTGTTGATTGAATTGAAGTTATATTGACGACTAATTTGGTTAGAATTTGTTATGGAGAGAGATAAAAAAAGTTATAGTTTTTATATTAATTTTGGTACAAAAAATCTAACTTTTTTTATGTTTTTCAAACTGGTCGACACAAAATCTTCGAAACTAGAAGTCCAATTTTTTTCAAAAAGAAAAATTGTTTCAATATATTAGTTATTTAATTCTTATTTATAAGCATCTAAAATTAAGGTTTCATTAAAAAAAAGGAGATTTCTATTTTAAACTGTTCTAGCTTTTATAATAATTAATATTTTTGAAAATTTGTACGCTACTCTCGAATATCCCATTCTTTTGGAGCGATGACAATCAACAATCGAAACGCGATTTTGAAAACAATGAATAACTCCATCGTTTTGACTGGTAACTTTCACGAATTAATATTTTGATTTAAAAAAGAAAAGAAAGTCTTGTTTGTGTAACTAAAAAAAATTGAAACTTTCCATCCAATAATTGTGTATTACAAAAATGTACAAGTTTTACCTGTCTTTCATTGTATATTTTTCATAAACTGATAATCTAATGCAAAATTTAAAATGGCTATTGTATGTATTTAAGATAAACATAATAATGAATGATTTTTGTAATAAATATTTATTACGATAAATTGTCACCCGCTCTGTAACAAATTTCACATTTTTAATTAACATGGAAATATATGAATTATCAAATCATATTTCTTTAAAGTATGTTTAAACAAATTCAATTTAGTTGACACGTTTGTAATGACATTTTTAATATCATTTAAAATTTATTTTAGCTTTGTCAGATATTGTGGACTCACTGGACTCGAAGTTTGCACTGTACAGACTTGGTGACTTACCAAACCCGAAAACATCGATACTAAAGGACAAAGATTTAATTGCTCTACTGTCCGATGTTTCTCCTGCTCCACCAGTTCTTCAAGAAAAACCTTCTCACAACGATAAATTATTGTATATTTTTACCAGTGGAACGACTGGTCTTCCAAAAGCTGCAGTTATAACAAATTCAAGGTGATACATTTCTTATAAGTATATAGAAATATATTAAAGCTTCTAATCACTTGCATTACACTGTTTGTGTAGTAAGAAATATATTCTTACAATTAGTAACAAAAATACTGAGTAATCAGAAAAAATATGATTAATATATAGATTTATAATATCTACTGATTTGATGTGGTAACTGCATTAAATTATTATTTCGAAATATTGCATAAAGAAATTATATAATATGTTACTTGATTTTGTACTGTTCCAGGTATATGTTTATAGCAACTGGAATTTTTATGATGGCACAATTCAAAAGTACAGATAGATTTTATACGCCAATGCCGCTGTATCATACTGCTGCTGGTGCAATGACCATAGGTGCAGCTGTTCTTCATGGAGCAACGGTGGTCATTAGGAAGAAGTTTTCAGCAAGTGCCTACTTTGCTGACTGCATTAAATATAATTGTACAGTGAGTTATTTACATTTACTCTTTTATCGCATATTCATATATATTAAACCTGTGAACAGTTTCTATACTTTTATTTCATAATTTTTATTTAGGAAATGTATCATAAAATTCACTAAACCAATTATAAATGAACCATATAATCTCATATTTAAAAGTCCAGTCAAAATAAAGAAGGATCAAACTACAAAAATGTAGTAATAATTTTAAAGTTACAGAATTTTACTTACGATTCTTGTTTACTATGATTTTGTACAAAATTCTTTAGTATTGTTATAAAATACATAAATATAAATTCTATATGTAAATAATGATATTGTAATATTTAAATATACACCTAATCCTCGATTTACGCGGTAAATTAGAATACTTATTTACACGGTAATATTTATGCGCGATCTGAATTTAGTAACATTGAATAAAATGTATTTTTGTTTTCTAAAATGCCATTATTATTATTTCGTTTGTTTGTACCGACAAATTCTATCTACGCGATTTTCATTCGCGTGAAACGAATCCATGTGGAGCGGAGTTTCATGTAAATCGAGAGTTAGGTGTAATGTAAATAAGAGTAGCGCATAAGAATTAATATAATTTATTTCTAGGTTGGTCAATATATTGGAGAAATGTGCAGATACATTTTGGCTGTACCTCCAAAACCAGAAGATAAGAAACATAATATTAGACTGATGTTTGGTAATGGTTTGAGGCCACAAATATGGCCTGAGTTTGTTGAACGCTTTAATATTCCGAGAGTTGCTGAATTTTATGGAGCAACCGAAGGAAATGCTAATATTGGTAAGCACTGATTTTAGTGCATACAAGTGCTATGTATTATAATTTATGTTATTATTAAACAATAATTTAATTTTATACAAATTTTCGTGCTTAACTTAATGTGCACGAATAAATTAAATTACATTTGCATAATTTTTTTAATTTTTATTAATATTTTCTGGTTTTGTTCTAGTAAATACTGACAATACTGTTGGAGCCATTGGTTTTGTGTCTCGTATCATTCCATCAGTTTATCCTATCTCTATTTTAAAAGCAAATTCTGATGGTGAACCCATAAGGAATGCAAAAGGTTTATGTCAAGTATGTGAACCAAGTACGTGCGTTTTTTAAATGAAATATATATTTCTATACTATGAAGTACAGAGTGTTGGTATATTTTTTGAAATATTTGTTTAAGAGATATGAGGCACATGTATATATTATAAAGAAATGTAACATTAACTTTTTTCATCTCTTTTAGATGAACCAGGTGTTTTTGTTGGCAAGATTCTTCCCAATAATCCATCTAGAGCATTTTTAGGATATGTAGATCAAAAGGCATCTGAAAAGAAAGTAGTCCATGATGTGTTTAAAAAAGGAGACTCAGCGTTTATATCTGGTATAAATTATTTCATAAAATTATAAAATTTTGTACTTAATAGCCACACAATAGCTTACTGTTAAAACAGTAATTGTGTCTTGTATAATGAATGTAAAATGTGATATTATGATAGAGATATTTTTCTGTCATAGGTGACATTTTAATAGCAGATGAGTTCGGTTATTTATACTTTAAGGATAGAACAGGTGATACTTTTAGATGGAAAGGTGAAAATGTATCTACATCCGAAGTTGAAGCTATTATTAGTAATGTTGTTAATTATAGAGATTGCATTGTGTATGGCGTTGAAGTAAGTAATCGGTCTGTTTACTGCTACTATAACTCTATTCTTTTACTCATACTACTATCATATTTTTAAATACTTTGTGCAAAGCTTTTATATTTTCGATTTTATTAGGTTCCAGGTGTTGAAGGTAAAGCTGGAATGGCAGCAATATATGATGAAAATAACACATTAGATATGAATAAATTATCAGTTGATCTAAAAGGATATTTAGCATTTTATGCAATACCTAGATTTATTAGAATTTTAACAAAGATCGACCTCACAGGTATGTATATCTCTAATTTCACTAAAATATCACTAATTCATTAACTGAAATGTAATAAAAGATTACAAAGTTTATACATTATGTTAATAATCGATAAATATATGGTAAGGCTTGAGTCATAAGGTCAGAATTTTAACTAATAAATTAGAAAGAGTTGTAATCATTGAAATCTTATATAACTGTAATGGTATTCTTAGAAATGTTCAACATAATAATAAGCTTCCAAAATTAAAGAAGTTCTTTATTTTATAACATATTTTAATAATAATTTTTATAAGTTCTTAATCACCTATAATTACATATAATGAAAAAAGGATTTTATATATTTCATATATATTTACTTTAAATATATTTTTACATTTTTTGAAAAATATTTATTTACAAATTACTATAAAGTAATTAAATAAGAACTTCATGTATATAGTTATACATTCAAACTATTAGTAAATAGTCCATTATTTTATACACACTGTTTAAATGTTTAACCTGTTTAAAAAAAATTTTTAGGTACGTTCAAATTAAAAAAGAAAGATCTTCTGGAAGATGGTTACGATCCTAGAAGGACGAAAGACAAATTATACTATTTGAGTGAAAAGTCTGGGTATCAGTTATTAACTGTTGAAGTCTATGAACAAATTTTAGAAAAGAAAATCCGTTTTTAAGTTACGTTTTTGAGAAGTAAATGATCATGGGAACAATTTTCACAACTTTTTATAAATGTGCGCCACTAAGGTAAAAAAAGGACTTTTAACCTTATTATGTTAATTCAAAAAAATTACTTTGTACTAAAGTATTTTCTTATAGTAATTAAATTATTCTAATTCCTGCTCCATTATTTTTCTAATATAATTTTGTATGAGCTTATATCATGTAAAACTAAATAACAATAATGTATGAAATACATTACATGAAAACAAGAATGAGGGATTTTTTACTTAAAAATAAATAAGTTTTATGTTTTCAGAATTAAATTTAACAACATTTTCTTTTCACGTATAATAACATAATACACATACTTGATTTTTCATAATACTCACCATAAAAATGTAAAGTATCATTTTATTTTCAAGTTAAAAATCTTTCATTCTTTAGTTACATCACATTTTGTAATAAGAATAATATTTACAAAAATGTTTTTATATTTGGAGGAGTGGAATATATAATAATATGTTGTAGTCAAAATGTATTACTGTAAAGTTTACATGTACCTTAAAGATCAAATTTCATACAAGTTGCTAATTCTTAAATGTTACAATATCACAAAGAGTAAATACGTATTTTATAACATAAATTGGATATAATTTTTAGTTTAAAATCTAAGCAATGTTAAAGATGTTATACTGTTGTTTCTATATTTTAATATATGTTATTACTAGTGAACCATTTTCATGATCACGAATATACAAATATGTTATTGTTAATAATGTTATCACACAGTATATTCAACATTTCTGTCCATATGAATTTCGTAACTAAAATTGGATCAAAAATATATATTTATTATAATCAACGTTAGCACTGTAATTCAATTAAATATTCCATCATTAATTTCATTTTCACGAAGTATTCCATTCTAATTCATTATCGCCCGATATATTGTTTATTCAGCTCATTATACTTTATATCGATTAGCTTTATCAATCTCAGTTAATTTTTACTTGTAAAAATAGTTAGAAAGGAAGGATATGCGGAAAATAGTTATTAGAATATAATTATGAATACATAATGTTTTTGTTAAATTAATT